ACAAGTGGAAAGGGTGAATGTGTGCTTGAAATAATAGCTTTAATGCCTTGCCCTTAAAGCAATGTAACTGAAAGCAATGTAACTGACCTGCAAAATTGTGCTGTTCCTGTGCCTGTACCTGTGTACAGGTAGTGTCAGAAGCTCCATYTCACACGAGAGACAGGAGGAAAGGCTGATGAATGAAGATTACAGGCTAATCCTTTATGCTGCAGAACTGGATTACGTGGTCTAATAAGACTTTGCTGTATCTACATGCAGGGGCTTGTCAGAGATCACAGAGAGGATTCGTGTTTCAGCCAGGGTTAAAACTCAGGCAAAAGCAGCTCCTAGTCCTGTGCCAAGGCCATGGGCTGTGCTCCTTCCTCAAGCCCTGTATGGAGAACAGCACACCCTGTGCTTGTTCCTGTTATTGCTCTTTAGTTTGCTTTATTTTGTAATACTGTGCATTACAGTTCCACCAAGTTTAAGAGCSAAGGAGCATTTCCCCGTGTGACTGTTCACAAGGAGAAGCAATGACAAGCAAATACTGCCTGGGTCTTGGGGTGCTTAAAACAGCAAAAAAACAGTTCTCCGTGTTAAAGACCCTGTCAAGCACACTCAGTTACTCCTTTTAGCAGAACAGCTTTTTTCCCCCTTCATGTGTCTTCCTTTCCCTTTGGAGGCAGCCCCATCAGCTTTAATTTTTATTAATTYTTCTGCTTTGGTTTAATAAGTTTTTATCTCCAGTCTCCTCACTGTCTGCTCTCTGCATTGGCTGTTGCTGGCGCCTGTCGGGAATGAGGCGGGTAGGAAGGCCAGAGCGGGAAGCAGCCACGGGCACAGAACAAAGACTCRATACAAACCATGTGCCTCTCACACAAGCTTCTACCGTGTCTGAAACACTGACTTGGATTGAAATTCAAAATACAGGCAGAGAGATATGTCAGATCTTTGCATAAATATGCATAGCAAAAAAAAAGGCTATTGGTTGATCAGATTAGCTCTCTATTAGAACCTTTTTTTTTTTTTTTTTTTCTATCTAATGCTAATCTGATATTCATTTATAATCTCTGCACAAATCTTTGTGAAGCCTGGAGGGATTTAGAGTCTTTGTGCATGACAACAGACTGTAGAAGAATTTCATGACAAATATGCAGCAATTCAATAAACAACCTGGGGAGAACTTCCCAGAAATCTACTTTCAGCTTCCCTGGGGCTGCCTATACTTGATGAGAAAAAATCCCAAGTGCTTGTGCAGGCTCTTTTATCTGCTTTTTAAGAAAGTAGCTACTAACCTTATCATACATTACTTCTATTAAGCATTGCCAACAGGCCTCAGCTGAGATCATAACCCAGTCAGACAGTCATCACAGTGATGACATTGCCACTGTTTTGCCAGCTTTGTTCAGCAGGAGTTTGATGATGTTCCTTTAACTATTTTAAAACAATGGGGCTGATCCAGAAATTTTAAAAAAATTCAATCTGAGAAAAAGTGGCAAGTCGAGTCCTCAATATATTTTTTTCCTAATGAAAAGTTGTCATGACGTTAATTTCTTTGYATTTATCTTCCAGAGAAGCCTCATTGATTTGTCCATACACAGGCAAACAGCTGTTGTAAGACAAGAGTTACCAGTAGCCCGGAGACCAGACCTCAGGAATCCTGAATTCTGCCCCTTCCAGCTCGAAAAACAGTTGATGAAATCACAGTTTCTCAGCTTGGAGAAATCAGTCTCACAGATTACTGACAAAACTGAGGTCACATATCTCAAAAGAACACRAAATAATGATGCTCCATTAACAGGTCTTACTTGAAAGGCAAAATGAATTCAGAAAAATAGACAACATGCAGGTACAAAACAACGTACAAATTCAACTTTGACAATTGCCTGAAAGACACAGAGAAAGTATCTTGTGATGAAGAAAAACAAAACAAAACAAAAAAGTCCCTTTCTGCTGGGACTGGAGATGGCTACATGACTTCAGCTCAGGATTTTGTGTCCCCGCCAAAATCAGTCATTARCACTAAGAAGAGGCCAACACCCATGGCACTAAAATGAAAGAAAAATGCTGAGAGTGCAGTATTTTCAAAGGCAGGCATCTAATGTTGGACTTTGGGATTAGTTCATAATAAATAATTCATATTTAGGCACCTGCCTTGACTGAGTGAATGTTTATGCTGCAAGTCTGTCATTTTTACCAGTTTCAGGAGAAATTCAAAGCAATGTTGGTAAACGACAAACACATTCCTCTTTGTCCTTTATGTTTTTCCTGCTTTTCTCTTTGGGCTCAAATTTGCTCAATCTGCACTGTCAATTTAAGCAAACTTGCAGTTGTTTCCTCATCTCCAGTTTTCTTCTCGCAGACCAAACTGTTCTCTGCAACACTGCACTTTCTCTTCCTAGCTTTGTCCTTCCTCTTTGCCTTTTCTGCTGCTTGGTACTTGCTCCTTTTTCTCTCTTATATTTGCACTTAGCTGAATGACTCAAGACTGCAAGAGTGAAACTGTGTTTTCTTTCTTCAGTTTTCCAGAGTCTGTAGCTAGTGATGCTTTCGAGTAACAGGATCTATGCAATTTAACTTAATTTAAAATCAGACAGGTCCATCATCCAGTCTGTTTACCACTCACAAATCATTAAGCCATTCCTTTACTAAGGCAACTGACCCTTTAGCATTTCAATTTTCTTGAGACCACAYTGCTGTTTGCTTCAGGCAGGGCACACAGGACACGTGGCTGCCTCAAAGATCAAGACTTCTACAACAGCTGAGGATTGACTAATGCTCCTGGAGTATCTGCATGTTTTATCCAAGTCATAGGAAATGACCCAACTGGCAGCTCAGGAGAGGAGATGTGATACTGCTTTGTGTGAGARAAGGGAAATGTAGACTCAGGAGAGGTCTGGCAGCATTTATTAGGTCAAGTGAAGGAAATGCAACSATGACCATGTCAATCCGTCCCCCTAAATGTCTGGAAAGAAACAGAAGTGGCCTTTCAGACGGTGGGATTTGGTTCTCYTTGGCCAAGATTAGTTGGGATGCAAAAGTTTCCTCATGGTGCAGAGAAGAGAAAAGAGTTTCTCTTAGTCTGAGCTGGGACTGGGAGTTGAAGGGAACAATTTTATCCTAACCTCAGTTCCAGAAATTAACTTGACCTGCATCAGCCACGTACACAGGGTGTGCTCTGCGTTTTCTGAGGTCTCTTGTCCCTCTTCTCCTTGTTTCAGCTAGGTCAGTCTGCAGTACTTGGTAAGAAGGCATGATGCCCATTCCCTGCTCTCAGCCTAAAAGACAGTCAGCTGAACACCATAAAAAAATAATTTGCTCCCGATTTCTCTTTGAGACATCCTGGGAATGAGGTTTGGCAAGGAGTTTGCTTTTCATGTACATATGTATCTCTCCTAAGCATATTTAAAACATGTTTGCTCAGGCTCATAACCTTCATGCTACTCCCCATCTTCATGTCTTTTGCACTGTGAATTCTGATCACAGAATGCCCTCGTGCATGCAGGTGGATGCAGCTGCAGCCACAGTTCTGCATTTTCTTTTTTCTGCATGTCTCTATGCCAGACTAACTCAACAACTACACACTGTGCTAACACATAAATGACTGTGGTTCACCTCGTGAAACCATGAGGGGATGGCTRCTGCCTGACCACAGGAGCAGGAGACTCATTTCATGCATCAGATGACAGAGAAATCTCTCAGGTAGTGGAGACCTGAGCTTGCAGGGAGAGCAGCAGCAGATGAATGAGCCTCAGTGGTTGGATCCACAGCCAGGGTTTCTTCTAAATCAAAGCTTCAGTTAATAAACCGTGTTGCCTGCATATGAATTATACTGCCTTGGAACTTGARAATACAGCTCCCCAGGTAGTTAGAAGGTTGCCTGATCCTCTCGGCAACTCAGCTAAAAAATCCCTCTAATCAAAACCTTCAGGCAGCTAACTTCTGTGTTATTATCTCAGTGATGTTTTACAAAGCAACGTTAGACAGAAAATACCCACCCCATAAACAGTATAAGGTCATCAATATAATCTTTAATGGCAAAGAGCCCGGGATTTCTATTTCTCTTGGTTTTCCAGCAATGTTGTCCACTCCTGGCTGCAAATGGTGCAGGAGCAATGACCTGAGCATGAAATCGGTTATTACAGGAGTGAACTAGGTGTCCCAACGTAGGTGTTGGGCACTATTTCATATTCCCTCGGATTGCCTGCCTGGCAGTCCAGAAGGGCACAGCTCTCCTGTGGTTCCTGGTCTAGTCTGCCAGATCTCTTTTGGACCTCTCAGGTACATTCGGGCACCTAAAAGGGCAGCACATTCTGTGCTTAGGCATGGCTTAGGTGCGACAGTCAGGTGCACGCGCACACACACACAACATCTAGAAAACACTGCCAAAAGGCTCTTTTTGTACCCTTCCTACCCTGTCCAAAGCTCCCTCCTAATTTAAGGAGGCCATCTGTGCCCTTTCTTTCTTCTCTCTGCTCACTACCCTTGCCTGCCAAACCCGCATGGCAAAACTAACCCATTGGTTACTAACCTTTCCTTTCCTTTCCTTTCCTTTCCTGCTGCCCACCGGGCACCGCCTGGCGTGTGGAAATTCATTAGCACTTCAGCTGTCTCCGCGGGGATCATGCCCACAGGCAGCCAGGAATTTGGACAAGATCTATAAAGGCAGCAGGCCGTGGTGTATTCTTAGCTGCTCTGTATTTTTCCCGCTGCTCTTTCTTACAAGGGCTCCCCAGGGCCTCTGCTTCTGGCCCTAGCCCTGGGGAAGCAACGTGGGTGTCTTCCGCAATGCAGACGTGCTCCTGAGCTGTGCTCTGCTAAACCCAACTGAGGTGCTCCCCTTTGCTTCACTTGGTGTGCGGGTAGACACAGATCTTCAACATGAACTCACTGCTAAGGAAAAGATACTGTGACAAAATCATTTCAAAGAGCTTTCTTGCAAATGAAGGAATATGGACACTGATATKAAACAGACTTGTCCTGCCCACAAATAACTTTATTTTCTCTTGCAGTGACTTTATCTAAGCCCCTCGATAATTGCATTTGCAAAATGGGTTAAGAGCACGGATCAATCTTGCTGGCAAGTATCCCAGTCCCTGTAAGAAAAACACTGAAGTCACATCTCGTTAGCCTAATCATGGAACTATATTCAAATTTCAAAYATTTAACATGGCCTGTTAGTAAGAAGAGATGTACATCTATCATTTTAGGCATAMTTGCTGGTTTTCATCTGTAGACAGGCACAGCATCAATATGCAGCCATTAAAAATACTCTGTTGATTACTGAATACCAACTGATTTGCAGGCTGAAAAACATTACAGTGTCATTGTTTGGATTCACATATTTGGGAAGGGATGAAAGTTATTAGGAACTATACCCTGCCAAACTCCTGAATCTCACTTTTCAAAAGTAGATATTATGGTTTGTTTTTTACTCAGAATAAGTTAAAACAGTTTAGGACTCCATATATCACCAAATTCAGTGAGTCCCATAGCCCATGCTCTATCACTTAATCCCTTTTCCTTAAATGATGATTATCTTGCCTTAAGTTAAGGTATTAACTTGCTTGCACCTGCTGGGTGGCTGTTACGAAGATGGCCATCAAGATGAGCAACTGCTGGCTTCAATCTGCTTAATGCCTTTGCTTTTCTCCTGCCCTGAGAGAGTCACTTAAGCAAAACAGGCTTTTTCCATCCCTCCTGACGGGAGATGCAGCCAGAGCTCCCCTCAGACCTCCTTTGGCCAGGTTTGGGTGGCCCAACACTTTCAGATTCGTTTTGTGAGGCAGTGTGTGGGTCCCTGTGCATCCCTGCCATGCTGCCCCTGCCTGCAGCCCCCTCTCTGGAGCCCAGCACTGCAGCGGGGTGATGCCAGCCCTATGGCAGGTTGTACCCTGTGCACTCCCCTCCCTCCGCAGCGGGCACGACAATGTCTCACACGTGCTCCTGCCTTCCTCTCCTCATGGCCAGGCGGCACCGGGGACCTGCAGTCACCCAAGCACAAACAGCTCGTATAGTCTCTCACATATAGCTATATAGCTTCTGATGCTATAGATTGGTTTAAAACCAAGACCAAYGCCTAGGCTTCATGACTTTACAATTCCATAATTCAGACCCAAAGTCTCTGTTTTCCAATGCTTTGCATATTTTAAATGTTTTTTTTTCTTCACTACACTTATACTGCGGTAATTTCCACTTCTGTAACTTCATGMCCATTTGCAATTTTGCCCTCATGTTCAGCAGTAACTTTCATTGAAAGYAGAAGAAAAAATAATCTAGAATTCTTAACAGTCTTTTCTTCTTTATAAGRCTAAAATCTTGTTTTAATTTTCTTTGCAAGGTTTACCTTTGACTGGTCTCACTTTTCCACTGGACTTCCTGCCTCCTGTTATTTCTCAAAACTTGCCATTCGGAAGTTGAAAGTGTTACTTACAAACCCTCTTGTTTCTTTYCCTTCCCTTTCATTTACTCAAAACCAGCACAAGTTCCCATTAACCAAAGTTATATCACATTATATCACACAGATATATAGAAAGGTCTCTAGAAAAACAAAATCAAGGGAAGAAATGGATGTAGCTAGGAGTGGTTGCTGTGTAAACGTATTGTGCCAGGCCTTGAGAGGGGCAGAGCAGCTGAACAGTAGAAGACAGTGGTCTTCCAAAGGTGAGGATCTGTGCTTTGAYTCATGTGCCCAGCAGCATTAAATACCTTTGCAGGGAAGGAATGGGCATTAATCTCTCTTTGGACTGCCACATATGCTCCTGTGCAGAGCAGGGGAGCTGTGAACAGCCTGCTGCTTGTTATCCCATCTCACTCCCTCAGATGCGGCGTGCTGAAGCGCGCTGACGCAACGTGCAGACGTGATGATTGCAGCCGTCCTCATAAATAGATCCGCCTTTAGGACCCGACTGTGAGCACCTGATATTAGCTGAAGGAGAGTCTACGGAAATGGGTCTGCTGGGTTGCTTGGTAAGGGTCACTACCTTTCTCCTCATGAAGATGATCATGGTTATTAGAGAGGGACAGTTTCCTATCCTCCCTTGATTCRAGAAATACTGTGTACCATCAGGAATTCTACTTATCTTTAATAAAAAAATCTGCTAATTGAGAGCTATTTTATAAAACACTATCATATTTCTTATAAAACAACACCTAGCATCCACCATTTCTCCGCTTGGGCTGATAATTCCTTCCCCTTTCATTCTTTTAAACAACTACCTCACCTCAAACCACTCTTTGAGGAAACTGAAGCTGACTGATACCTGCACCACACTGCCAACTGCTTCCCTGGTTAGGTGCACACATGCAGTAAGTTTATTCTTAAGCAGTAATGTCCTGGCTCTTCCAGCTAGGACGGAGCACAAGAGCTTCCCTTTGTGGTGGCTGCCTTAGGTTAAACTTTCCTTGACAAAATCAGTACATTTGCCTATTTCCCTGTCGGCTGAACTCACCTGCAGAAGTATCCTGTTCCCATCGTGGTCTTCAGTTTGCCACCTGCCTTCACTGATGGGGCTGCAGGAGTTGGGCAAGAGAGGCACAAGCTGTCCAACATCTTTCACTCGGAACTCCAGCACTGCTGACTCGGCTGGGGCTGGAATCTGGCCCTTGGGGAGTTTTTTTAAGGAGAACTGAATGTCAATGTCCACGTTAGAATAGATTGGGAAAACACAAAAGTCTGTTTTTTTCTGACATGCTGGTCTTTTCAGGATTAGCTCGTACAATTTCAAAATGTCAACAAAGTTTTCACTCCTGCAGTATATAGTGAAGCGGATAATTTCTTTTCCATAATGCACTGGGCGAATGGCCCACAGAGGAGTGCCCGGGGCCAGCGTGTAGAAGTCCTGGCTGCATGGCATGTAAGGCAGGAGCTTCCCGTGCACCCGCTCTGTGTGGTGGTAGTGCCAAGGGGGCCGCTGGAAGGACTCGTGGAGCTGCAAAATGGGCTCTTCTCCATACTCCTCCTGCAGGAACAGAACGATGGCAAGGGCTGGCTGGGAAACCCCAGCCTTGCTCGGCTTCCTGCCCTTTTGCGGCACTCGCCTCTCCGAGACGCGGAACAGCTGGAGGTCTGGGTGGATCCAGGCTAGAAGCTTGTCGATGGCTTGCTGGAGAGTCTTGGATTCTCCCGGGTCTGTGATGATATGGACACTGAYGAGGAACGGGTCCTGTATGTCTTCCACCGAAAGTTCACCTGATAGTACAAGAAAGAAAAATGTCCATGAGGATGTTAAACCTACTAATTTCCTTGACCTTTGTGAACATGTAGGTGATCCTTAAGGCAGAAACAGAGTACTCAGCCACACTGGACTTTGTTTTGGTCTTTCTCAAGCTAACCTACAAAAATCAAAAAATAAGGTAGAGAGATAAAGCACCAAACAAAATAACCAGGAAGACAGAGCCATTTTGCCATGCAAAACACTTATTCTTTCTACTGCCCAGGTGCTGCCCAGTGTGAATTTGTGTGCTAGAAGGGAAGTGCCCAAACAGCTGAGTGGTGGGAAAGACAAAACCCCTGTCACAGAGTGGGGGTGGAAGGGGCACTAGTTGTGTGCMGAATGACTGGGGTGGACAGGGTTCATCCTATCTTGTTTTAATTTGAGCCTCTTGGCTTGGGGCATGGAAATCACAGCACTCAGCTCCACTCCCCATCTTGCCATTGGGGTTTCCACCACGTTAGGAGTGCTCTGTGGCCTGAAGGCAACTGTTTTAATAAGCCAGGCAGAGTTTGCAGGGAGAGGTAATATCTTTTATTAGACCAACTGATACAGCTAGGAAAAAAAATGCAGACAAGCCTTCAGGCACACAGGCCCTTCTTCAGGAAAAGATATTGCCTCTCCACACAAATCCTGTGCTGTTTAGAGCTTTATACCGTCATGACTGCAACAATACTACTGCTTTAAGGATTTTATAAGGTTAGGGAAGACTGGTAAAGGCAGAAAGCACAAAGAAAACCACGCTGGAATCTCTAGCCAGCACCGCGGATGTTCAAAGGGGCCCCTCAAAGCTCCCTGCTGGCTGAGCAGTAGGGCAAGGGCTGGTTGGAGGGCAGGMAGCAACCGTCATTATTTATCTGCAGGAGCCCCAAAAAGGGGCACACGGAAGATCCAAGGCTGCTTAACGCAGCCTGGGTCCCCAGGAGGCTGTTGCTCCCTCTGCCTGGGCTTCCAATACCAACTGCGTTCATGAGAGCCAGGCCTGGGCACAAAGCCTGCGGACTCGGAAGGGCTTCCCAAGGTTTTCACTTTGCCCTCCTCTTGGCAGGCGTGGGCACTTGTCCCTCCTCTCCCCTGGCATCAGAGCCACATTCCTGCGACACTCCAGCATTTGCTTTAATGGAGACACTGTACTAGGCAAGCAGGGCATTTTAGTTGCCTTGAATGCAGAATAGCTGCCAGCTGTGGAGAGCAGCTAAATGCAGGTGTGCAGCTTTCCTGCCATGGGAAYGCGCCAGCAGCCTCCATATAGGAGCTCCCAAAATACACGGTATGCAGAGCAAATAGCAAGCAGGCACTTTGCCTAAAGTAAATTTAGAGGGGAAAAAGAAAAAGGAAAGCAGATAATCAAAAATACAACTAGAGCAAAGTTCTGGTATTTCTGTATGAGATGGGTGATGGGGACTGACTTCGTCACATGGTTAATGGAAAAAAAAATAGAAAGCTCAGGGCAAAAAGATCTGCGTCCTTGTAGCATAGGAGGCTCTGCTGCRACACTTGTTACTGTGTGTAATTTTGAGCGAGATTCCCTGCAGGCAGTTACAGTGTGGGAGAAAGACAAGGCATGTGTGTGGCGTAGGTGCCCCATGGCCCTGTGCGTGGGGCAGCACGACAGAAAGAAAAACAAATTGCAGGGAGATCAATCTACTAAAACCAGAAGGAAAACAACCAGCACTGCTCCGCAGGCAGTYGTTCCCTGAGCCTGCTGCTGAAGATGTTCAGCTCTCTTCTCCCGCCTTTTCTTTTGTCACACGGATGCTGYCAAAGGCTGCAGCAAGAAGCCCGCTCGATATTTATGCGTAGAAATGACTGCAGCTTTGAAAGCAGAGCGCCCTGGGTTTGCACTGAAAGATAAAATGCCCGTGCATGGTGCATGGCTTTGCTGCCCTCCTCTCGCTCAGCGTGGAGCTGAGATGTCGGAGGCGCCTTTCAGAGGGCACTGCTGGAGCCAGCAGCATTAACATTCTGCAGCCATCGCCGGCCGCGTCCAGCGGCACCGGCACCGCAGCGGTGCCCAACGGCCCCCAGGGCTCCGCACAAACCCTTCCTTAGGGAGTAGGATGTCACACAGAGGCAGAGAAATCTGCCCTTTTGTGAATGGGAAGTGAGCGCTTGGAAGGGGGGAAAGTGTCATGGATCAGTAGAGAAAGAGCTTAGGAACCTACTTGATGTGAGCAAAGAGACTTCCACTGTAGATGGGCGCCACTTTGGCACCTCTCATTATGTGGCTTCTGTGCTGAGGAAATGGCAGCCCTTTTCACTCAGAAACAAAAAGCAGAAATACAAGAAAAAGCGGAAATATGAGACGGGAAGCTGAGAGAAGCTTTGCTGGAGCTGACAATACACTGTGAATTGTTTCTATTTTACTAACAAGTCTTTTTGCTTCAGCTCACAGGGGCGGCGGGAGGSGAGTGTGGAAATGGCACCATTTCTCATGACACAGCCCAATTTGCCCTCTGGCAAATCGCCGCAGAAGCGAAAGAAAGCTCCGCATATGTATTAGCCTTCCTGTATTACTAGTTAATCCCACAGAAAATATCAAAATGCTGAGGCACCTCTTTGAAAATAAGCTCTGCAGTTCTCACAGCTATTACAGACTTTTTTTCCTACGACCGAAGGGAATTAGTTCCTTCTGAGCCGGCAGAGCACTAACATTGCTACAAGGTAAATGCCACCAAGTCTGAGAGCATTTGATAATTTTTCTTTTTTTACTCATCTGTTAGCTAGCACTGCCAGCCCGGAGCGGCTAAAGCAGAGCCCCCCGGGCAAACGAGGCAGCCCGAATGCTGAGGGGCTCTCGCACCTCACGTCCCAAAGCTGCTGCCTGTTTTATGATTAAGCCTTGGATCGTTCTTCACAGGTAATTTTGCTGCTGAGGCAATATTTAACCGTGCTCTTTTCTAATTTCCTGAGGAGGGGAGAGCTCTGCACCCAGTGCCAGCCAGTCCCGACAGGAGGTGCCTCGCGGGACGGCTGTGACAGCCCTGGTGCTTTGGTGACACCAGCACAAGGTGGGAGCAAGGAGTTGGGTGCTCTGCCTCCTGTGCCGGTACCTGGGAAACACCTCTCCTGTGGGAGCTGCTCGGGAATGCAGGAGTCCTCGTGCTGGAGCAAGCGCAGCAAATATTGGACATAAACCACTTTTGAGCTGACCTGCAAGCCTGCAATGGGAACCTGCAGCACCACTTTGCAGCTCCCTGTTGCAGCACGCTGTGCGASAGCAACCAAAGCTGGGATTTCTCCGCAGTCCCGCAGGCTAAATGCCCTTATGGCTGCCCGTGGCAGTAAGATTTCAGATTTCATTCTGACCCAATACTGTGATACTCTATGAGRGAGGTAAACCAGAAGGAGAGGATGAGAATGAGAAAAATTACAGCTCCCACCAGACACTACATTGTTATCAGGAAATAATGAAATAATTCAAAACGAATCATTACAGATCATTATAAGAGATTTTGTTTATTGTTAACAAATGAAAATACTTCAACTGTGGGAATGCAGAAGAATTTTAATTGCATAAATAATGCCAGAACAAAACATTAGACTATTTCCTAAATAAGGCTTCTCGAGATCTCTGTTGCACGGGGAATTTCAATATTTCCCTATTCCAGCCCCATTACAGAGCACAACCAAGTGCTGAAATGCCTTGCTCCTTGAACGGGACCTCCATATTTTCACAACTCTAATGCAAGACTGGCCCTTTTTGGCACGGGGACTGGAAGGCTCATGGGCAGGCACAGCGAGGGCCACTGTTTAGATCAACAAGGACCATCCACTTGCAGGCAGCTGTGCCAGAAGCAGTTCCTGAGCACCGCCCGCAGCAGAACCCACTGGCAGGTCGCACTGCGAGGAACTGTGCAGCATCAATAAGCTCCTGAACAGGCAGGATGTGACAGATTCACCAGCCACTCCATTCTCGTTCCCCTGGTTTAACAGCATCTGACAAGCGCGGGGCTGCAGGGCGCTGCGCTGCTCTATGTGCCCTGCTTTGTGTCCCACACAGGAAGGACATTGGGAAGCGACGAGGACACTCTGTGTGGCCGGCAGTGCCACTTCCATGCTCCTGTGGGAGCAGCGTTTCCCTGGGAGCTGCACCCGGGGCTTCCCTGATGCAGATAATGTGCCCCGCGGTGCTCCCTCCTCCAGCCTTGCTACGGTAGGATAGASAGCATGTAGCTGACCAGCGCTTTGGCAGTGTGTTTGGGGCAAAATCAGGCCCTTCAGAGAGGTCCTCTGGTCACAGGCTGGCTGGCTGGTGCTCCTCTTAAGAGATAAGCCTGTGAGGGGGCCCATCACCTTCACTTGCCCAAAGTGGGAGCCAAGGGCAATGACACTTCCACCTTGGGCACCTCAGCTACACAACTACAACGGGCAACAGCAGTTGTGGGCCAGTGTGCCTAGCTGCAGCACCACTCGCACTCTGCTAACTTGTCTTTTGTGCTTCCATCTACCCTCACGGTGCCAGGGACTTCTAAAGGATTTCTTTAGAGCATATTTAGAGTCTAACCTCTGGTAGGCACCCTGCGCTATAACCTGCTGCTCATACATGGAGCAAGAAGGCATTTGACATTCAGGGACACACTCATGCACACTACCCAGTGAATCCAAATCAGGCACAGGAGCCTCATTCTGATCAGAGATACCAGCTTCTCAACCCCATTTACACCAAGTCCAYGCTCATCCTTTACTCCCCAGCTCGCTCCCTAACCTGCTGTATGTACTCGCAGCGAACAAAAAACACATAGGAGTTTGCAGGCAACAGCCACCATTTCAGTGATAAACCAACTGATGGGAAYACAGCTGAGATGTTGAGTTTCTGCAAACGTTACCCATTTTTAGTTCAGTGTGTGCAAAGCAGGCTGGAGCAACTGCTCACAAAAATCTATGCAAACTGGAATGGAAAATTCAGCATTAGTGTTCTTGGAGGAATTTTGAGCCATTTCTCCCTGAGGCCAATGGTCAGAAATCCCCCTGTTCCCTCCCACATGAAGTTTACTACAATTTGTGAGCTGTCTTGGAGACTCAGACCAGTCTGCAGTGCACATGTGTCCACGTCACAGAACACAGTCACATGATTTGGCACCATCAGTAGCTGTCCTGACTCAAAAGCCAAAAATCTAC